TGCTACGTCGTGCTGGCCGTGCTCTTCAACCAGGAGGTGAGGCAGCCCTGCTCCCAGTGCCCCCCAGTTCAGCCAGATCATCCCCCCAGTGCTCCCAGTGCCCCCCAGTCCATTCCCCCAGCGCTCCCAGTGCAGCCAGGCCATCCCCCAGTTCCCCCAGTCCATTCCCCCAGTGCTCCCAGTGCAGCCAGGCCATCCCCCAGTGCCCCCCAGTGCCCCCAGTCCATTCCCCCAGTGCCCCCAGTCCACTCCCCCAGTGCCCCCAGTTCAGCCAGAGCATCCCCCCAGTGCTCCCAGTGCAGCCAGGCCATCCCCCAGTGCCCCCAGTCCATTCGCCCAGTGCCCCCAGTTCAGCCAGAGCATTCCCCAGTGCTCCCAGTCCAGCCAGGCCATCCCCCAGTGCCCCTCAGTGCCCCCAGTCCATTTCCCCAGTGCCCCTCAGTGCCCCCAGTCCATTTCCCCAGTGCCTCCCAGTGCAATCAGGACATTCCCCCAGTGCCCCCCAGTCCAGCCAGGCCACCCCCCAGTGCCCCCAGTCCATTTCCCCAGTGCATTCCCCAGTGCCCCAGTGCATTCTCCAGTGCCCCCAGTATCCCCAGTGCATTCCCTCAGTGGCCCCAGTCCATCCCCCAGTGCCCTCCATGGAGTGCAGCCAGAACATCCCCCCAGTGCAGCCTGGCCATTGCCCAGTGCCCCCAGTCCATTTTCCCAGTGCTCCCAGTGCAGTCAGAACATCCCCAGTGCCCCCATTCCAGCCCCCGGTATCCCCAGTACCCCATTCCAGCCCCCAGTATCCCCAGTACCCCATTCCAGCCCCCAGTACCCCATTCCAGCCCCCAGTATCCCCAGTACCCCATTCCAGCCCCCAGTACCCCATTCCAGCCCCCAGTATCCCCAGTACCCCATTCCAGCCCCCTTTCCCCCCGTACCCCATTCCAGCCCCCAGTATCCCCAGTACCCCCATTCCAGCCCCCAGTACCCCATTCCAGCCCCCAGTATCCCCAGTACCCCATTCCAGCCCCCTTTCCCCCCGTACCCCGCTCCATCCCCGCTGTCCCCTGTCCCCAGGACTCGCTGCTGCTGGTGCAGGAGGCCAAGCCCGAGTGCCGCGGTCTCTGGTACCTGCCCGCGGGCCGGGTGGAGCGGGGCGAGCCCATCGTGGCCGCGCTGCGCCGGGAGGTGCGCGAGGAGTCGGGGCTGCACTGCGAGCCCGTAACGCTGCTGGCGCTGGAGGAGCGCGGCCCGGCCTGGATCCGCTTCTCCTTCCTGGCACGGGCCACAGGTTTGTGCTGGCACGGGGGGCACGGGGGGCACGGGGGGAGCGTCCCCAGGTGGTCCTGTGGTGGGTGTCAGGGTCCTCAGCTGGCTCCATGATGGAAAGTGGCACTCCCATGGTGGGTATCCCTGTCCTTTGGCACCCCCCATGATGGGTATCTGGGTGTCCTTGTCCCCTGCCAGCCGTGTGATGCCAAGTGCCACCCCCATGGTGGGTATCTGTGTCCCTTGCCACCCCCATGGTGGGTATCCGTGTCCCTTGCCAGCCCCAGGATGGGTGTCCCAGTTCCCTGTGAGCCCCATGATGGCAAGTGGCACCCCTGTGATGGGTAGCAGTGTCCCCTGCCACCCCCATGAAGGGTGTCCCAGTCCCCTATGAGCCCCATGATGGCAAGTGGCACCCCAGTGATGTTTATCCCTGTCCCCTGCCACCCCCATGATGGGTATGCCAGTCCCCTGCCAGTGCCCTAATGGCAAGTGGCATCCCTGTGATGGGTATCCCTGTCCCCTGCCAGCCCCATGGTGGCTATCAGTGTCCCCTGCCAGCCCAGTGATGTTTATCCCTGTCCCCTGCCAGCGTCATGATGGCAAGTGGCACCCCCATGATGGGTGTCCCTGTCCTCTGGCACCCCCATGGTGGGTGTCCCTGTCCTCTGGCACCCCCATGATGGGTGTCCCTGTCCCCTGCCAGCCCTGTGATGGCAAGTGGCACCCCCATGGTGGGGATCCCTGTCCCCTGACAGTTCCATGGTGGGTGTCCCCGTCACCAGCTGGCATCCCTGTGATGGGTGTCCCTGTCCCCTGCCAGCCCCATGATGGGTGTCCCTGTCCCCTGCCAGTGTCATGATGGCAAGTGGCACCCCTGTGATGGGTGTCCCTGTCCCCTGCCAGCCCCATGGTGGGTATCAGTGTCCCCACCCGTCCTGTGCCCAAGCATCAGTGTCCCCTGCCACCTTTGTGCCAGCTCACTGGTGTCCCCTGCAAACCCCATGATGGATTTTTTAGCACCTTTGTGCCAGGCCACTGCAGTCCCCTGCCACCACCCCCAAAGCCCCACACAGGGCCACCAGTGTCCCCTCTGAGGCCACCTCGGGGGTCTCAATGTCCCACCAGTGTCCCCTCTGAACCATGGAAATGGGGAGTGGGTTTGGGGGTGTTTGGGGGAAATGGGGAGTGGGGTGTTTGGGGGAAAATGGGGGAAATGGCGAGTAGGTTTGGGAGTGTTTGGGGGAAAATGCAGAATGGGGTTTGGGGGGGGGTTGGGGAAAATAGGGAGTGGGGTTAGGGGGAAAATAGGGAGTGGGGTTTGGGGGTGTTAGGGGGAAAATAGGGAATGGGGTTTGGGGGTGTTTGAGGGAAAATAGGGAGTGGGGTTTGGGGGTGTTAGGGGAAAATAGGGAGTGGGGTTTGGGGGTGTTTGAGGGAAAATAGGGACTGGGGTTTGGGGGTGTTTGAGGGAAAATAGGGAGTGGGGTTTGGGGGTGTTTGAGACCCTCGGGGATCTCAGTGTCCCCCCCAGCCCCTTCCCGCTGTCCCCCCATTCCGTGCCCCCCCTGTACGCTCAGGTGGGACCCTGAAGACCCTGGAGGAGGCTGACTCCGAGTCCCTCCAAGCCACCTGGTGGCCCGGGGACCCCCGTTCGCTGCCGCTGCGCTCTCCGGACATCCTGCCCGTGCTGGAGCTCGCCGCCCGCTACCGCCGCAGCCCCGCGCACCCCCCGACGCTGCCGCGGGAGCTGCCCTGCTCCCCGCTCTGCCTGCGCCTCCTGCTGCCCTTCTCCAACGCCTCGGGCGAGCTGTGGCTGCTGCTGGCCACCGCTGCCACCCCGCAGCTGCCCGTGGTGGCCTGCGGGACATCCCCGGCCGAGCTGCGTGCGGGGCTGCGCCCGCCGCTGCTGCGGCTGCTGCGGGAGCGCCTGGGCTGGGAGGCGCAGCCCGAGGCTCTGGGGCTGCTGGGGCTGCAGCACAGCCCCGGCGACTCTGGGGACACCGATGGCATCTGCTTCAATGTGCTGCTGAGCGTGGCCCCGGGCGGGCAGCGGGAGCGGCCCCCAGAGCCCCGCGACCCCGCGCTGCGCTGGTGGCCGGTGCGGGAGGAGCTGCGGGGCCGCGTCCTGCAGAGGATCCGGGCAACCGTGCCCGTGCGGAGTTAGGGATGGAGAGAGCGGGGTTGGGACTCAGGGGGCCCAGGGATGTGCTGGCTGGGGGAGCTGGGAGCAGAAATAAAATATAAAATAAAATAAAATATAAAATAAAATAAACCCGGCTGCTTCTGCTGCTGATTCTGTGTCCGGGCTGTGGTGGGGAGAGTGGGATTTGAGGGGGAAATGGGGTTTGGGGGAAAATGGGGAGTGGGGTTTTAGGGGTGTTTGGGGGGAAATGAAGATGGTGTTTGGGGTTGTTTGGGGGGAAATGGGGATGGTGTTTGGGGTTGTTTGGGGGAAAATGGGGATGGGGTTTGGGGGTGTTTGGGGGAAAATGCAGAGTGGGGGTTTTGGGGGTGTTTGGGGGGAAATAGGGAGTGGGTTTGGGGGTGTTTGGGGGAAATAGGGAGTGGGTTTGGGGGTATTGGAGACCCTCGGGGGTCTCAGTGTCCCCCCCAGCCCCTTCCCGCTGGTGGCCGGTGCGGGAGGAGCTGCGGGGCCGCGTCCTGCAGAGGATCCGGGCAACCGTGCCCGTGCGGAGTTAGGGATGGAGAGAGCGGGGTTGGGACTGGGGGAAAGGGGGGCCCCAGGGATGTGCTGGCTGGGGGTGCTGGGAGCAGAAATAAAATTAAAATAAAATAAAATATAAAATAAAATAAACCCGGCTGCTTCTGCTGCTGATTCTGTGTCCGGGCTGCGGTGGGGAGAGTGGGATTTGGGGGGGAAATGGGGTTTCGGGGTGTTTGGGAGAAAATAGGGAGTGGGGTTTTAGGGGTGTTTGGGGGAAAATGGGGAGCAGGGTTTTTGGGACATGGGGAGTAGAGCTTTGGGGGTGTTTGGGGGAAATGGGGAGTGGGTTTGGAGATGTTTGGGGGAAAATAGGGGGTGGGATTTTGGGGTGTTTGGGGGGAAATGGGGAGCGGGTTTGCGGAAATGGACAGTGGGGTTTGGAGATGTTTGGGGGGAAATAGGGAGTGGGGTTTGGGAGTATTTGGGGGGAAATGGGGAGCAGGTTTGCAGAAATGGACAGTGGGGTTTGGGGGTGTTTGGGGGAAAATGCAGAGTGGGGTTTGGGGGGGTTTGTTTGGGAAGGGGCACACGAGGTGCTGCTGAGGCACAGCTTTATTGGAGCAGAGTCCCATCACCCTGGGGAGGGGCTTTGCGGGGTCTGGGGGCACAGACCCCCACCAGAGCACACACACGTGTCACACACACCCACAGACATGTCACACATGTCACACTCCCCCTGCCACAGAGCCAGGGCAGGGGACAATCGAGTCCTTGCAGCTGAGTTGGGAGGGGGGCTCTGTCCCACACACCCCATTATTGCCTAAAAATTCCCTGCTGGAGCCTTGTGGGGAGCAGGACCCACCACCCAGGAGGAGCCAGGGCAGCCAGCACCCCGCACCCAGCACGGGGACGTGGCGACACCTCGGGGCTGGCCAAGGCGACAGCGAAGGACTCAGCGCCTCCTCATCCTCCCGCCAGCTCCTTCCCGCGGAGCCACGGCCATTCCTGGCTCCTGCAGGGCCACCGGGGCGTGGGCAGGGCCATCCCCAAGAGGGGCAGCTCGGGGAGGGGCTCAGGGTGGCCCCTCGGGTGGGCCCTTGACCAGGGCGATGGCAGCCAGCTCCTTGCAGAACTCCTCCAGCACCACCACGCCCTTGAACAGCACCGTGTGATCCATCCTGCGGGGACACCAGCGACTGAGGGGGGTCTGTGGGGCACAACCCCTCCCCAAAAGGGCGTTTTTGGGGGACTCACTGCTCTCCTGGCACCAGCCCCAGGAGCTGCCGGCGCACCAGGAGCAGCTTGGCCCTGGCGTGGGGCACGCGCTGGAGCCGCTGCATCAGCTCCCCGATCACCTGGGGAGAGAGCAGAGGGTCACCCCCTGGGAGAGCCTGTCTGAAATAGCCCTCATGTGCCTCACCATCGTCACTGGGGAGACCACAGACAAAACAAAACCCCCAATGTCTGCTGATCCTGTAGGGGGAAAGTCGTGCCTGAGACCTGAGGGCGTTGCCAAGCCATTGTTTCCACAGGTGTTGTTTGCTGTGTGCTGCACTGAGCCCAATGAGGAGAAGAAGAAGGGGGCACCGTGCCCTGTGTGCAACAACAGCCCTGGGAGCTGTCCCAGCTCTCGACTTCTCCTGAGTTCAGGTGGTCCCCCCACAGCAGACCCTCACCTGTTTTACAACCACTGTGACAGACAGACTGAGATGTGAGGAGCCTCCCTAGCAAGGACTGAGACATGAAAAACCCCCATGTGAAAAGGCCCCTCTGCTCCTTCCAAGGACTGAGACATGGAACCCCCATGTGAAAAGGCCCCTCTGCTCCTCCCAAGGACTGAGACACAAAACCCCCATGTGCAAAGGCCCCGCTGCTCCTCCATCAAGGACTGAGACACAAAACCCCCATGTGAAAAAGCCCCTCTGCTCCTTCCAAGGACTGAGACACAAAACCCCCGTGTGAAAAGGCCCCTCAGCTCCTCCCAAGGACTGGGACTGAAACCCCCAGCCCAGGGCAGGTGTGTGGGGGACCAAAGCTGACCAGAGCGAGATGTTTGCCTGCAGGTTGTGACCACTGGACCACAACAACAATGGCTCTCATTTACTGCTGAGAGCATGGACTACCTGTCACATCTATTCCTTATTGTATCTGTTTCCCCCCCCCTCACAATTTTCAACAGAATTATCATAATAAAAACCTCTGAGTTAGCCAGAGACTTCGAGATCTCCCCGACGTCACAGGCGGATCCTCGACTGGACAGGACCAAAGGACTTCATCTCCACGTTTGGTAGCTCTATCCCCTCTTTCTCTCTCTCTCTCTCTATTTTCTCTCTCCCTCAATCCCTCTGTCTCATTTTGCTGTGGTCACTCAATAAAGGTGAGTTTGTTTTCATTATCACTGCAAACCCCCTGTGCCGTGTCGGTTTTTGCACCCTCAGATCACCCCATGAACCCTCACAAACCCCATTTGTCAGAACAGATCGTGACACCCGCCCAGCCAGGGGGTGTCCCCGTGTCCCCAGAGCCCCGAGGGTGACGTTACCCTGACGAGGACGGAGAAGAGCGAGCGGCAGCCGGGGGCCAGGCTGAGGTAGGGGTCCAGCAGGTACTCGTGCAGGTGAGGGTGGGGGAAGGCGGCCAGCTGGGACAGCACCGAGGTCACCTGCAGGTTCAGGCTGTAGGGCTGGCATGGGGAGGGACACTCAGGACCTTGGGTGACCCCCAACATTCCCTCATCCCCACCAAGGTGATGGTTTTGGGCACTTTGTCCATGATGGGGGTCCTGGGGGGAACAAGGGGGTGTAGGGCTGGGATGGGGAGGGACACTGAGGACCTTGGGTGACTCCTCTATCCCCTTGTTCTGAGCCCATCCCCACCAAGGTGATGGTTTTGGGCACTTTGGCCATCATGGGGGTCCTGGGGGGGCACAGGGGGGTGTAGGGCTGGGATGGGGAGGGACACTCAGGACCTGGGGTGACTCCACCATCCCCTCATTTGGAACTCTTTCCCATCAAGCTGATGGTTTTGGGCACTTTGGCCATGATAGGGGTCCTGGGGGGAACAGGGCAGTGTAGGGCTGGGATGGGGAGAGACATGCAGGACCTTGGGTGACTCCTCCATCCCCTTGTTCTGAACCCATCCCCAAGAAGCTGATGGTTTTGGCCACTTTGTCCCCATCATGGGGGTTCTGGGGGGGCACAGGGGGGTGTAGGGCTGGGATGGGGAGGGACACTCAGGACCTGGGGTGACCCCCCAACATCCCCTCATTCTGAGCCTGTCCCCACCAAGGTGATGGTTTTGGCCACTTTGTCCATGATGAGGGTCCTGGGGGGCACAGGGGGGCTCAGGGGGCACCCAGTACCTGATCCAGGATCCTGCTCATCCGGTCAAACAGCACCTTGAGGAAGTGTCCCTCGTAAAAAGCCACTCCAGGGTGACAGCAGTGACAGGAGTCCAGGGGCCGAGGGGATGAGGGCCACCCCCACGGGGCAGCGCTGGCACGGCACGCCTGGACCTGCCCAGGGGGGACAGCAGGTGAGAGCCAGGGTGGGCACAGCCACCAGCAGGCTGGGGACACCCTCAGGCACCCACCATGGCCAGGGCATCGTGCACGTAGGTGTCGTATCCGCCCTCCTCCATGCACGACGAGGTCTTGGCCTCCTCGGGGACCAGGCACAGGAAGCTGGAAGAGAGGGAGGAGAGGATGGGTGCTGGGGAAGATGGAACAGGAAAGCCTTATCAATATGATTGTCTGGCAAAAGATATGGAGAATATGGAAACTATAAGTGAGATTGAAATGAAAGCAGCTTTGAGATCCCTCAGTTACTGAACAACTGGAAAACAATGGTGTGGCTGCTGAAGGTGATCCCCTTTTGATCAAACAATCCCCTCTGCTTGCAGACAGGCCCAAGGGTCAGAGCAGACCCTACAGCTTGGCAGAAGGGCCCAAAGAGGAGTTTGTAGGGTTTAAAATGTAACACAGGATGGTAATGGAATGATTCTTATAGGCTGTATGGAAATGCTGTAGGATTTGTATCTTGTACTGGATTGGTTGGTGAGAATCAGAATATTCAACACAGAAGAAGATTTATTGTGTTGGAACGGGAACCTTTCTCTCTTACCCCTTTTACTCCCTTACTCTCTCACCCTCTCATCCTCTCTCCCCCTCTCTTCTCTCAGTCCTGCTCTGAGCTGTGCCTGGCAGCTCCCAGCAGGGCCCTGCCCTTGGCCCTTTGCAATAACCCCCAAATTCCTCACCTGGCTGCAGAGATCTCTCATGTCCGTCTGTCCCCACCATCCTACCCCCTGATGCTCCAAGAGATGGGGAGGGGATGCAGCCCCCCCACTCCAGCCCAGCCCCTCCAAAAAGCTGATCCTCTCCAATATCATCCTGATCATTAAGAACTATGAACCAGCATTCGCCTTTTAAGCTAAAGAAAGAGGGTTTCCCTCCCTCCTTAATGATATTCCTCAACTAAACCCCAGCCCCTACCTGCTCACCACCTCGCTCACTCGCCCCTTCCCCGACGGGGCTGATGCTGGGGAAGGATTTTTTGTCACCCCAAAGCTGTCTGGGAATCCATCGGTGAAATAGGGATCCTCCTCCAGGTCCCTGTGTGGGGTCAGCATTAGGGGGGCGGGCAGTGAGTGGGGGGCACCCCCTGGCCCTGCCCCAGCCCCTCTTGCTCACAGCCCGTCCTCCTCGGGGTCCGTCTCGGGGGGCCCGCGCTCCTCGGGGCCGCGCTGCAGGTACGCCCTGGCCTCCAGGTTCCTCAGCACCAGGTTGTGAGCCACGTGCTCGTGGGGCTTCCTCAGCAGCTCCTCGAAGAGCCGCAGGCTGGCCAGGCTGATCTGGGCATGGCCAGCAGGGTCAGACCCTGGCCAGGCTGATCTGGGCATGGCCAGCAGGGTCAGACCCTGGCCAGGCTGATCTGGGCATGGCCAGCAGGGTCAGACCCTGGCCAGGCTGATTTGGGCACAGCCAGCAGGGTCAGAGCCTGGCCAGGCTGATTTGGGCACAGCCAGCAGGGTCAGAGCCTGGCCAGGCTGATTTGGGCACAGCCAGCAGGGTCAGACCCTGGCCAGGCTGATTTGGGCACGGCCAGCAGGGTCAGACCCTGGCCAGGCTGTTTTGGGCACAGCCAGCAGGGTCAGAGCCTGGCCAGGCTGATTTGGGCACGGCCAGCAGGGTCAGACCCTGGCCAGGCTGATTTGGGCACAGCCAGCAGGGTCAGAGCCTGGCCAGGCTGATTTGGGCACAGCCAGCAGGGTCAGAGCCCAGCCCTGGCAGCCCAGCCCAGCCCAGGTGAGCTCACCTCGTCGCTCAGGTGGTCACAGCGCTCGATGAGCTGCGCCCGCAGGGGGTGGGGGGCGTCCCCGGGGGTCTCGGGGTGCCGGTGGGGCCCCAGCAGGAAGAGCACGAGGCGGTGGAGCAGGCTGGGAGAGCGGAGCTGCCTCACTGTGCCCGTCAGCACGGCCGTGGCGCCCAGCACGGCCAGCTCCGACCTGTGGTGTGGGAAGGGGGGGTTTGTCCAGGGAAAAGGGGGAACCCCCCTGCTCCTGGCTCTGAGGGGGTCCTGAAGGGCAGAACCCCCCAGCTGGGGTTGGGGTGGTTGTCCAGGGATAAAGGGCAACCCCCTGCCCCTGGCTTCCAGGGGATCCTGAGGAGCAGAAACCCCCAGCTGGGGTTGGGGTGGTTGTGCAGGGTAAAGGGAAACCCTCCCCACTCCTGGCTCTGAGGGGGGCCCCATTCCAGCTGGGATCAGGGTGTTTGTCCAGGGAAAAAGGGAATCCCCCCTTCCTGGCACTGAGGGGGTCCTGAGGAGCAGAACCCCCCAGCTGGGATTGGGGTGTTTGTCCAGGGAAAAGGGGAATCCCCCCACTCCTGGCTCTGAGGGGGCCTCATTCCAGCTGGGGTCAGGGTGTTTGTCCAGGGAAAAGGGGGAATCCCCCCTCATTCCTGGCTCTGAGGGGGTCCCTGCTCCAGCTGGGGTCGGGATGGTTGTCCAGGGAAAAGGGGGAACCCCCACTCCTGGCTCCTGAGGAGCAGAACCCCCCAGCTGGGGTTGGGGTGGTTGTCCAGGGAAAAGGGGGAACCCCCCCTCACTCCTGGCTCTGAGTGGGTCCTGAGAAGCAGAAACCCCCCAGCTGGGGTTGGGGTGGTTGTCCAGGGAAAAAGGGGGAACTCCCCACTCCTGAGGGGGTCCTGAGGAGCAGAACAAGGGGTCACTCACATCTGCAGGAGCTGGGGCTGCAGGATGCCCTGGAAGAATTTCTCCTCCACGGCCTCGCTGATGCCACCGGCCACGAGCTGGGGGGACAAAGGGGCTGAGAGTGGGGACCCCCCAGGACGAGACACAGCCTTAAATGGCACCCCAGGAGGTTTAGGGTGGATTAGGCAGAATTTCTCCACGGAAAGGGTGATTGGGTGTTGGAATGGGGCTGCCCAGGGAAGCGGTGGAGTCGCCATCCCTGGAGGTGGCACTCGGTGACAAGGATCAGGCACCAATTAACTCCCAGATTAACGAATGCCGTGCTTCTCACCGGGTGGGCGCCCATCACCAGCTCATCCAGGAAATCCAGCCAGCCCAGGAACTCAGCCAGGCTCTCCTTGCCCGGGAAACCGCCGTCCCCAGCGCTATCCCCCTGCGACCTGCGTGGCACAGAGAACGCGTGCCTGTGACACCGCCTGGGTGGCACCTGCCACCCCCAGCCCGGCACCCCCTCACCTCCAGCTGGCCCTGTCCATGCTGAGGACATCAGCAGGGTCGGTGCCAACGGGCACGGCGCTGTAGAGGTCGCAGAGGTGCCCCACGAGCAGCGGGCACAGGGCAGTGCCCCGCGCCAGGCAGGTGGCAGCCGCCTCCTGGGCCAGCCCCGCCAGCAGCAGCACATTCTCCCGAGCCTTCAGCGCCACCCGGCTCTTCTGCGAGGAAGAGGAGGAGGGCACGGGGGTGGCCAAATGCCTGGCGGTGCCCTCTGTCCCCGAGGTGCCACCCCTGAGGCCGTACCTTGCTCCTGCACAGTGCCACCAGGCAGGTGACGAGGTTGCTGTCCCTGCGTGGCGGGGAGGGCTGGGCTGGAGGGCAGCTGGCACCTGGGGGATGCCCCAAACCCTCTGCCCTGGGCATGGAGCTGGCACCGGTGCCTGGGGGATGCCCCAAACCCTCTGCCCTGGGCATGGAGCTGGCAGAGGTGCCCGAGGGATGCTCCAAATGCCCTGCCCTGGGCATGGAGCTGGCAGTGGTGCCTGAGGGATGCCCCAAATGCTCTTCCTTGGGCATGGAGCTGGCAGAGGTGCCCGGGGGATGCTCCAAATGCTCGTCCCTGGGGGTAGAAATTGCAGCAGTGCCTGAGGGATGCTCCAAACCCTCTGCCCTGGGGCTGGAGCTGGCAGTGGTGCCCGAGGGATGATCCAAACCCTCTGCCCTGGGGCTGGAGCTGGCAGCAGTGCCCAGAGGATGCTCCAAACCCTCTGCCCTGGGCATGGAGCTGGCAGTGGTGCCTGAGGGTTGCTCCAAACCCTCTGTCCTGGGGCTCTCCGGGGCTCTCCTCCCGTTCAGGACGCTCTTTCCCTGGAGAGGAAGAGGAGCAGCAAAGCATTGCAGCCATCACCTTCCTCCTCCTCACCCTGAGGAGCTTTATGGCAGGGGAGGAGGCTGCAAAGGGGGTCCCAAACCTCAGCTGGGGGAGCCCAAACCCCACTGGGGATCCCACAGTCCCACCTGCAGGATGTAGGGCAGCAGGCTGGGATCCCAAATCCCACTGGAGACCCCACAGTGCCCCACCTGCAGCATGTAGGGCTGGGATCCTGCTGGAGCCTAAATCCCATTGGGGACCCCACAGTGTCCCACCTGCAGGATGTAGGGCAGCAGGCTGGATCCCAAATCCCATTGGGGACCCCACAGTGTCCCACCTGCAGGATGTAGGGCAGGGATCCTGCTGGATCCCAAATCCCACAGTGTCCCACCTGCAGGATGTAGGGCAGCAGGCTGGGAGCCCAAACCCCACTGGGGACCCCACAGTGTCCCACCTGCAGGATGTAGGGCAGCAGGCTGGGATCCCAAACCCCACTGGGGACCCCACAGTGTCCCACCTGCAGGATGTAGGGCTGGGATCCTGCTGGAGCCTAAATCCCATTGGGGACCCCATAGTGTCCCACCTGCAGGATGTAGGGCAGCAGGCTGGGATCCCAAATCCCATTGGGGACCCCACAGTGTCCCACCTGCAGGATGTAGGGCAGCAGGCTGGGATCCCAAATCCCACTGGGGACCCCATAGTGTCCCACCTGCAGGATGTAGGGCAGCAGGCTGGGATCCCAAATCCCATTGGGGACCCCACAGTGTCCCACCTGCAGGATGTAGGGCAGCAGGCTGGGATCCCAAATCCCATTGGGGACCCCACAGTGTCCCACCTGCAGGATGTAGGGCAGCAGGCTGGGATCCCAAATCCCACTGGAGACCCCACAGTGTCCCACCTGCAGGATGTAGGGCAGCAGGCTGGGATCCCAAATCCCATTGGGGACCCCACAGTGTCCCACCTGCAGGATGTAGGGCAGCAGGCTGGGGTCCTGCTGGATCTTGGAGCAGAGCACGGCCGTGAACTGCACCTCCTCCCTCTCCGTGCCAGAGCCCAGGCGGTCCCCGCTGAGCTGGAGCAGCTTCTGGGGGGCGGAGCAGGGGATGTGGGGGTGCTGGGGGTGTCACCCATGGGTGTCACCCCCTGGGGACAGGGGCAGCTCACCTGCACGGGCCGGTGCACGTTGAGGTAGTGCAGGAGCGGGTGCTGCAGCTGCCCCAGCAGGCGGCTGAAGAAGAGCAGGACCTGCTGCCTCATCCCGGGGGGATACTGGGACAGGGACAGGGATCAGCCACATCCCTGATTTCCATGGAAATCACCCCAAACAATCCCCCAGATCCCTTCAAATGTGGCATTCACATTGTCTGGAAAAATCCCTTCACACGGGATCCTTCTCCTGGGAAGCTGAGAAGCCTCAGAGAAAAGGAAAACAATTCTGATCTCATTTGCTTCTCCTCTGTCTTGCTCGTCTGGATGTGTTTGGAGATTGTTTCATTGGATTCTGCTGTGAATTATTTTTCACTCATTTGCCAATCAAGGCCAAGCTGTTTTGGGACTCTGGAAAGAGTCTGGCACATAGATATTTTAAAAATAAAAATAAAAATAAATTTTAAAAAAAGGAAAAAAATAAAAATAAAAATAAAAATAAAAATAATCTGGCACAAAAATATTTTTAAAATAAAAATAAATAAAAATAAAAATTAAAATAAAAAAATAAAAAAGAAAAATAGTCTGGCACACAGATATTTTTAAAATAAGTAAAAATTAAAATTAAAAAAAAATAAAAATAAAAATACAGATAAAAATAAAAACATCTGCTACTTGGCTTTGCAGGATGAGGTGCCAGCTATTTCCCATTTCCCAGCACCCCAAAACCCCAAATCCTCCTGGGTGTGAAAGGACCAGTGTGTTTCCACCTCTACTTGAATAAAAATCTATTTCTAGGGGTCTTGTTGCTATTATTAGCAGGAAAAGGACAGCAGAGCCATTATATTTGTTATAGATTTGGTCAATATTTACTTTTTTTCCACACCTGGCACTTCATCCTGCAAAGCCATGTGCCAGATGTTTTTATTTTTACTTTTTAAATGTCTATTTTAATTTTAATTTCCATTTTATTTTTAATTCCCGCAAAGCCAAGTGCCAGATGTTTTTAGTTTTACTTTTTAAATGTCCGTTTTAATTTTAATTTTAATTCCTGCAAAGCCAAGTGCCAGATGATTTCTTTTTCTTTTTAAATGCCTGTTTTAATTTTAATTTTAATTTCAATTTTATTTTTAATTCCTGCAAAGCCAAGTGCCAGATGATTTATTTTTCTTTTTAAATGCCTGTTATAATTTTAATTTTAATTTCAATTTTATTTTTAATTTCTGCAAAGCCAAGTGCCAGATGACTTATTTTTACTTTTTAAATGTCTGTTTTAATTTCAATTTTAATTTTGATTTTAATTTTAATTTTAATTTTAATTTTAATTTTAATTTTAATTTTAATTTTAAAATATCTGTGTGCCACATATTTTTATAAAAACCCTTCCTGTGCACGCAGGGATGCGCTGAGGTGCAAGCTCCCAGAAAGGATCCCAGTGGGGATCTTGAGACCCCCAAGACCCTCCCAAAAAAAAGCCAAGTTTTCCCTCACAAAAACCCAATTTTCCCCAAAAAAAAGCCAATTTTTCCAAAAAAAACCCAAGCCCTGTGACCACCTCCCACTTCACAAACTCCAATTCTCTGTAAAAATGCTCCAAAATTCAAATTATCGAGGGCCACCAGGCAAAGCAGCTGGAAAAGGCCGTGGCTTGGGCCTCTCCCGAGGGATTTTCCCGATTCCCTGGCTCACCTCTGCCTTTCCCAGCGTTCCCAGGGTTTCCAGGAGTTTGTGCTGGAGCAGGAACTCGAGGCACGGCCCCGTGTCCCCCGGCGGGCGCTGCCGCTCCTCGTGCACCAGGATGTCCAACATCTGCCGCAGGCGCCACGGGATGTCCGTCTGTCGCGCCGGAACGCTCTCGTCTGCGGGGTTTGGGGATTTGGGATCGGGGATTTGGGGATTCTGGGATCAGGGATTTGGGGATTCTCGGATCAGGGATTGGGGATTTGGGGATCAGGTATCCAGGGCTTCAGGGATCTGTGAATTCAGGGATTCGGGGATTCAGGGGTGCAGGGATTCGGGATTGAGGGATCAGGCATTTGGGAATTCAGGGATACTGGGATTCAGAGATTTGGGGATTCAGGGGTTCAGGGATTCGGGGGTTCAGGGATTCGGGGATCTGGGAATTCAGGGATTCAGGGATACGGGGATCAGGGGACTTAAGAGATCAGGGATGTGGGGACTCAGGGATTCGGGATTTGGGGATCAGGGATTTGGGGATTCAGGGATACAAGGATTCAGGGATCCAGGGATCAGGGATTCGGGGGTTCAGGCATCAGGGATTCAGGGATTTGGGAATTCAGGGACTCAGACCTGGGGATTTGGAGAATCAGGGATTTAGGGATTCAAGGATTCAGGGATCTGGGGATCCAGGGATTCAGAGATTCAGGGATCCAGGTAATCATAGATTCAGGGATTCAAGGATGGGGGGCTGTGGCGGGCCCCCCCCGGGCACAGCAGCGGGAGGGATGCCCCGGTGAGGTGCCAGCCGTGCCAGCGGGGCTCTGCCAGGGGTTTCCCCTGATCCGTGCCATCCCTAAATCCTGCTCCTCCGGAGCGGGAACAACGCTAGATGGCAATGTGAGGATGGAACCGCTGCTTCCGCTCCGGCCTAGGACGCTGCCGGACATCCCGCTCCTCCCGCCGCCGTTCCGTTCCTCCGCTGGGCACCGGGGACCCCCGGGCAGAGCGGGCACCAGCATCCGCCGGGCAACCGAGGCCGGAGCTCTCCCGGGGCTTCCGGAGGGACGTGTCCCAGCCTGTGCCGGGAGTGTCCCCAGCCTGTGCCGGGAGTGTCCCCAGCCACCCCAAACCTTCCGTGCCGACCCCACCGCGCTGCCCGGGGGGCTCAGGGGCTGCGCAGGGCAGAGAACCCCGCGGGGGTAAAACCTGCCGGGGTTTGGGAAGGGGCTCCCGTCCCCGTCCCCACGTGCCAGGGCAGCCACAGCGCACCCGGGCCCTGCCCCAGGCACGGGGTCCCATGGCAGGGGGCAGGGATTTGTCCCAGGACACGGGGTCCTGTCCCGGGACATGTCCCCTGCCCCAGGGCACGGTATCATTCCTAGGCCGGGGACCCCGTTTTAGGGCACGGGGACCCTCTCCAAAGACACACGGTCCCTTCCCAGGACATGGGATCGTGTCCCAGGGATTGGGGTCCCCTCCTAGAGCACTGCGACCCCCCCTCCTTGGGCACAGAGCCCTCATTCCCGTTTTCAGGACACCCTATTTTAGGATACAAGGAACCTCTCCTAGGACACGACAACTCTGTTCCCACGCCACGAGGACTTTATTCCCACCTGAGACCCCATCCCGGGGAAAAACGACTCCAGCCCGGGAAACGCGGACCCTATCCCGGGAAACGCGGAGCCCATCCCGGGACAAAAGCGCCCCAAGCCCGGGGCACCGGGACCCTCTCCCCGCACCCCACTCACCTGTGGCCTCCAGGTAGTAGCCGGTGATGCCCGTCCAGTGCTCGGTGAAGGCTTCCAGCAGGTCCACGCTGGGCTCCCGCTGCTCACACCGGGATCGGGGTCAGGCGGGCACGGAATCCCCCGGTCCCGGTCCCATTCCCGGTCCCGTTCCTCCCGCGTGCCCCCGGTGCCGCTCACCGTCTCCACCGCCTGCTGCAGCAGCGCTCCCAACCGGCTGAGCATGGCTGGGACCCCCGGACCGGCCCCGGTCCCGACCCCGCTCCGGCCCCGGCCCCGCCCGCGCCGCCGGCCCCGCCCGGTCCCGCCCCCGGCGGCTCCGCTGCCGCTCCCGGCGGGATGGGCCGGGCTGGCAGCGAGAAGGGCGGGGGACGGAGGGGTTGGGAAGGAGCCTCAGCCCTAAAATTGCTCCGCGGGCGGTTCCGGATGGGGATGGACCCAGGGCACCGGGGTGGGAACAAACCCCACACACCGGGGGGGGCATCAACTCACCTCGGATGGACCCCACAAACCCCTTCACTGGGATTGGGATTGACCCCGCAAACCCCTTCACCCAGGATCAGGATATCCCCCACAAACCCCTTCACTGGGATTGGTATTAACCCCACAAACCCCTTCACCGGGACGGGGATGGACCCCACACACCTGGATGGGAACAAACCCCCACACACCAGGGGTGGGGCACCAACCCACTCTGGGTAGACCCACAAACCCCTTCCCCGGCATCGGGACTGACCCCACAAACCCCTTCACTGGGATCAGGATATCCCCTAAAAACTCCTTCCTTGGGATCAGGATTGACCCCACAAACCCCTTCATCAGAATGGCCTGGACCCCACACACTTGGATGGGAACAAACCCCCACACACTGTGGGGGGGCCATCAGTCCACTCTGGATGGACCCCACAAACCCCTTCACTGGGATTGGGATACCCCACAAACCCCTTTACCAGGATGGGGATGGACCCCACAAACTCCTTCCCTGGGATCAGGATTGACCCCACAAACCCCTTCACCTGGATGGAGCCCATAAACCCCTTTAAACAGGATGGGGATTGACCCCACAAATTCCCTCCCTGGGATCAGGACTAACCCCACAAACCCCTTACTGGGATGGGGATGGACCCCACAAACCCCTTTAGCAGGATGGAGCCGCACTCACCAGGATAAGGACAAGGACACCCCCCTCACCCCACTTCCCAGCTCACCCTTTCCCATAAAACCCAAGTATTATTCATTTTTTTTAATTCTCTAAAAAAAAATTAATAAAAATCAAAATAAACATTTCTCCAATCAAACCAAGCCCTGACAAGCACAGCTGTTGGAAAAGCACCCAGGGCCCAGCCCGGGTCCCGCTGGCTCCAGGGAATGGAATTGGATCCCTCCCAAATAAATCTGTGTCCCCCAGGGTTTATCCACACCCATCCCTGGAAATTCGGGGTGGGCCCATACTGGGGACAGAGCCAGCAGCTCATGGAGGTTTGCACCCCATAAAGGAGGTGGGGATGCAGGAGGGAGAGGCAGGAGACCCCCGGCTGGGGAGCTGATATGTGTGCATCGATATATCTGGATATAAAAATAGATGTGCGTAGTGGTAGCGTTGATAATGGTGGGTAAAAGTCAAATTCCGGGCTGATCCCAGGCTGGTCCTGCACGATCCACGCGCAGCCCGACGCTCTCTGGGAGACTCCGTGGTGCTCACATCGCAGATTTCATCTCCCACTCCTGGATAAATTAAATTGTGGGGGGGGTCAATCCCTCATTTCCCTGTTCTGTAGGATCCCCTAAACCCTTCTGTCCTGGATTGCCAAGCAAATTGTGTTCAATTCCCCATCTGCATGGCAGCTGTCTCCTGTTCATGGGCAGTTTTCCTTATCTCTTCCACACCCACTCCTCCCTCTGGGGAGACATCTGCTGATAAGAGGCCATTGAATGTCCCTGCATGGCTGATAAGAACTGCAGCATCCCATTGGGAGATGTGAGCCCAGAGGGAGGAGCCAAGCATTCCTACCTGGATATAATCTGGAGATTCTGGAACACCAGCCAAGCATTCCTACCTGGATATAATCTGGAGATTCTGGGACACCAGCCAAGCATTCCTACCTGGATATAATCTGGAGATTCTGGAACACCAGCCAAGCATTCCTGCCTGGATATAATCTGGAGATTCTGGAACACCAGCCAAGCATTCCTACCTGGATATAATCTGGAGATTCTGGAACACCAGCACGGCTTCTCCACGGGATTCCCCAGAGGAGCAGCAGCTGCCTCTCCTTCCCCTGGATCTTCAGAGGCAGAGACTCCACCCTTCTCCAGGATCCCTGCTCCAGCAGAACCAGCCCTGGCACTGCAGGAGGGCTGAGCCACAATTCCAATGGTTCTGCTGCCAACAGCCTGAACCACAGGGTGTCAGGCTGGGTTCTGACTCTGGCAGTGTTGGTTTAGTTCACTGCATTGTTTATTTTATCTTTTTATTTTCTTCCCCGTTAAAGAACTGTTATTCCTGCTCCCATATTTTTTGCCTGAGCCCCTTAATTTAAAATTTATAGCAATTTGGAGGGAGGGGGTGTCACAGACATCTTTTATGAAAAATCCTTTCCTTAGGATTTTTCCTCCTGAGAAGCTGAGAGGCCTCAGGAACAAAATGTAACCAATGGTTCTCTGCTGCTGTGGAATGCAACAGGTGCATCTGGGATTGGGCTCATGTGGTTGTTTCTAATTAATGGCCAATCACAGCCCAGTTGGCTCAGACTCTCTGTCCGAGCCACAAGCCTTTGTTATCATTCTTTCTTTTTCTATTCTTAGCCAGCCTTCTGATGAAATCCTTTCTTCTATTCTTTTAGCATAGTTTTCATGTAATATATATCATAAAATAATAAATAAAGCCTTCTGAAACATGGAGTCAGATCCTCGTCTCTTCCCTCATCCTCAGACCCCTCTGAACACGGTCACAGAGGGGGTTTTACATTTTTTACATTTCAGAGGAGGCTCCTGCCTTCCTCAGCAGACACCTGGCTTTCCAAACCCAGACACCTAATCCAGAATTACCTTTGTCTTCCTCATCACATTTCCCTTCCCTGCCACGACCGGGGACGGCGGCGGCCTCAGGGCGCTCTTGGCTGACGTGGTGCGCTTCAGCAGCGGCCTGAGGAACGACCCCTGAGGGAAAAACAGCACAAAAAGGGTGAGAGGTGCCCTCCAAACCTCACTATTTCTGTAATTCAGGGGATCCTTTAATTCAAACCTCGGTGTTTCCCACCTCAGAGCCAGCCGAGCCGGCGGTGGCAGCGATGTGACCCTTGAGGGACTTCCCGAGGCTCAGCAGGTTCATCTCGGAGCCGGCTCTCAGCCTGCCCTGCACGCCCCTCTCCAGCTGCCGCTCCGGCTTGGGAGAGGCTCTGTGCCCTGCAAGGACAGAATGGGCAGTGCCCGGCCAGGAGTGGGCAGTGCCCAACCCAGAGTGGCCACAGAGTGGGCATTGCCCGGCCAGGAGTGGGCACAGAGTGGGCATTGCCCGGCCGGGAGTGGGCACAGAGTGGGCAGTGCTCAACCCCAGAGTGAGCAGTGCCCGGCCCACTGTGGGCAGTGCCCAACCCAGAGTCGGCAGTGCCCAGCCCAGAATGGGCAGTGCCTGACCCAGAGTGAGCAGTGCCCGGCCCAGAGTGACCCCAGAGTGGGCAGTGCCTGACCCCAGAGTGGGCAGTGCCCATCCAGGAGTGGGCAGTGCCTGGCCCAGAGTGACCCCAGAGTGGGCAGTTCCCAACCCCAGAGTAGGCAGTGCCCATCCAGGAGTGGGCAGTGCTCATCCAGGAGTGGCCACAGAGTGGGCAGTGCCTGACCCCAGAGTGGGCAGTGCTTGGCCAGGAGTGGGCAGTGCCCAAACCCAGAGTGGGCAGTGCTTGGCCAGGAGTGGGCAGTCAGTGCCTGAACTCAGAGTGGGCAGTGCCTGACCCCAGAGTGGGTAGTGCCTGACCCCAGAGTGGGCAGTGCCCAGCCAGGATTGGGCAGTGCCCGGTCCCAGAGTGGGCAGTGCCCAGCCCAGAGTGCAGGAATAGAATTTGACAGAATTTTGTATTTGCTGAGAAATGCCCCAATGAAGGCAGGATTGATGCATTTGACTCCATGTTCTCACTATTTTATGATACTATATTATATTAAAGAATACTATTCTAAACTATACTAAAAAATACAGAAAAGATACTCAATGCTCAAAAGATAATAATGAAAACTCCTGACTCTCTCCAGAGTCCTGACACAGCTTGGCCCTGATTGGCCAAAAGAGTGAAAACAACTCATGCCAGAATCCAATGGAACAATCACCTGTGGGTAAACAATCTCCAAACACATTCCACATGGGCACAACACAGGAGAAGCAAATGAGATAAGAATTGTTTTCCTTTTTCTCTGAGCCTTCTCAGCTTCCCAGGAGAAGAATCCTGGGTGAAGGGATTTTTTCAGAGAATATGAATGCCACAACAGAGTGACTAAATTATCTTTTGTCTTTTTAAAAAGGAAAAGAAGCTCAGAAGTTTCTCTCTTTAATTAGAAAAAAAGACACTTTCAGGGACTTTACTTCAAACTGAAGGATAGCCAGTGGGACAGAAGCTAAAAAGTCTCACTTAAGCAACTTACTAGAAAAAGAAGAGAACAAAAGAACAAACGTTTTTTGTAGGGTGTTTTACTAGGAGCGAGAGATTTTTGCCCTCAGCTCAGGTTTTCTCCATAAAGAGCTTTGTAATTTTGCCTTCCCTTAAAACTTTTCTGTTTCTAACACTACTACAGAAGCCATCTTGCTGATTTTATGCTATTTTAGGTGTGAAATATTTCTCTGAGAGCTCATAAGACCTGTCTGGAAGAGACCATAACATCCCCAGAGCCCCTGCGTGCTCCTACCGACAACATCGAGCCCTTTCCGCGTGCCCCTCTTCTGGGGCAGGGTCAGGGTGTGCTGGGACAGGCACAGATCCCGGCTCTGCAGGCTGGGGCTGTCCTGGGGCAGCTGGGCACTGGCAGGCCTGGCCTGGAGAGCTGGGGAGGGAGGGAAGAGGAGGCACGGTCAGGAGGAAGGGCAGGGAGATGGTGGGAAGGGAAGGGAAGAGAAGGGAGGGTGAGGAGGAACGGAAATGGAGGGAGGGTCTGGAGGAAGGGAAGAGAAAGGGTGATCAAGACGAAGGGAAGAGAAAGGAGGATCAGGAGGAAGGGAAAAGGAGGGAGGATGGGGAGGA